ATGTTAAACTTAAAAAATCATTGGTGTCAGCTGGTGGCATTTACAAGTGACTTTAGATCCAGAACCAGTCAGGCACCATCATTAAAGGGAGTCAATCCACTGCAGCTTCAGCACCCTTTGGAGGAACCATGTGGTTCCACACAGAAATAGTTAGGAATGGCTGCTCTACAGCAACAGAGTCCAGCTGACAATCACTACTTCAGTAAAACAGTCCAGGCATAAACCATTTCTTGTGCTTATTTTCATAAACCACACTCCTTGAATTCCAGGGTAGTTTCTGGCAACACAGGCAAACAGCTGAAGGGATCCAAGGAAGAGGACAAAGGACAAAGGCCCACCCTACTGGAAATAGTATATGCTGGAATCCATTGGAGAGGGGCTCCCCACAGCAGCTGGGTCAAATCCAGGAGCCCAGGTAATGGTGGGAAAATCAGTTAAAGGGGGCTGCCCTAATATGACCCTTCTAGTAGGTGCTTAATGGCCCATAGAAGTGTTATGGTTTGACTCAAACCCCGGTCACTTTCACTTTTACGGCACAACATGGTCTTCATATAAGTATGAGATGTAAAGTCTTTATCAGACACATAAATGTCTCCTGGGTAGTTCTGGCAACACAGGCAAACAGTTGGAGGGATCCAAGGAAGAGGACAAAGGCCCACCCTACTGGAAATAGAGTATGCTGCTATCCATTGGAGAGGGGCTCCCCACAGCAGCTGGTTCAAACCCAGGTAATGGTGGGAAAAATCCGTTAAAGGAATCTGTCCTAATATGACACTTCTAGTAGGTGCTTAATGGCCCATAGAAGTGTTATGGTTTGACTCAAATCCCGGTCACTTTTGCTTTTACGGCACAACATGGTTTTCATATAAATAAGTAAGAGATGTAAAGTCTTTATCAGACACATAAATGTCTATCAACCACACAGCAGTGGAGCTATAAATTATTTTGAAAATGTTCTAAGTGCAAGGAGGATGGTGAAATATACATGAGAAGATATTTCCCAGCTGTCAAATTAACTAATATCCAATGTAGCCTATATAGTTTGCATACAGACAGCAGATAAATATATCTGTATGCAGCAGACCTGTGCACATAACCAACTTTCTACTAGGCAACAAACTCCATTTGGGGAAAACAGGAGCCAAAGCATATAAACACAAAAAATAACCGGAATCCAACAATGTTCCGATACTCTATGAGGTTTCAGACTGCCGTTTCAATTCTCTCACTTCAAATGCTCTGTGAGGCTTGAAACAACTGCCTTTTTATTCAAAGGTATCCTGCATTCCAATGTCTACTGTATAAACTCTACTTGAATGAGCAGGATGCTGAAGGTGGGATGCTTTTTTCCCCTGATCACAGGGAAATGCAGTTAGCTGTGTGAGTGCAGCACATCGTATCACGGCAGGGAGGAATAGAATAAATTACAGACCCTTTCAAACCCCTTTCTTATTATAGACATGTATAGAGGGAAACTGGTGGGGGAAAAAAGCGTTACATTTTCACACTCAAAATACTGACTGTCTTGTATGAAATAAATCTGAAACACTATTTGTAGGAAATACAGATTTCCATTTATGTGAACAATATTTGCATTTATTTATTTTTTAGTAAGCAGTTTGATATGGTAATGGAATACCACCAATAGAACTTTCATTTAAGGGATTCAAATACAAACAAATGTTGTACGTCAACTTTCTCCATGTTCACTTTAAAGGCATAAACCACCTTTTGCAAAAATGTAATAAATGCACCCACATTAATAAAAAAACAAATGTGCAATTATTACTTTTTTGTATTTAAGGCTGGACGTCAGGCATAGTTGCATTGGTCATGCCTGGACCAAAGTAGGTATGCATTTGTCATACCTGGAAGTTTGAAATCATCGTAGCAGGCACTGCCACTACAGTAATTGCCGCTAGTTTCCAGATCCTGCCCTGAGCAGCTGCCCAGCTCCTTAGTGAATACAAGAAGTTGCTCGGTTGGCACTCATTCAGAGAAGACTTTGTATTTTCTCTATGAATGGAAAGCATTTTTTGATTGGACGAGTTGGAAATTGTGACTCCATGACCCTGTCTCTCCACCTCATCCAGTCAATGAATGCCTTGCATTTATTGATATTATGCAAAGTGTTCTCTGCATTGTGTCCATGCCGAGCGAGTAGGACAGCTGTTTGGCACAGGGCCTGGAAGCCGGTAACAGAAACAGTAGTGGCAGTGCCTGCTACAGTGATTCTTCCAGGTTCAGAACATGCATAGTTACATCGGTCCAAGCTGGACCAATGTAATTAACCAAAAATAACCATACCCAGAATTCAGCTTTAAGCCAGCAGTACACTGCAAGCACAATCAGTGCGAGTGGGGAAGGGTTAAAACTTCTGATAAAGCATTTATTGCTTTCTGTCCCTTCCAGTTCCAGTGACAACCCTCCCAATTTTGTCCTGGTGTCACAAGGATAGGAGAGGGGGAGAAAATAAGGAAAGCCCAGTCATACAAGCACATTCACTCGGTCAGGCATTGTATAATATTCAGAGTTTTACTTCCACTCCCTGTTAGAGAAATGGTGCTGTGTCTAAGTATGTACTCACATTAGACACCTGGTACCACGTCCAAGCATGTTTGACCCCAAAGTTTGTTGATGTGATCATTCCACATGGTGTTCAGACATGGTTTAGTGTACTGTGCCCTCCAGTTGGGTTCAGGTATGGTACACATCTTTGTGATCACTAAACACAACTCTTATGGATGAATGAGCACTCATGAAATATGGAAATATGGATCACTGTGGTCTGGCTGGCACAGGTAATGATGAAAGAATGCTCAGGCCCAGCACAATGCGGGTGCAGATTGAGGGGAAGAGGGGTGCAGAGGCAATCGTGGTTGGACATAGTATAAGGCAAAAGGCCTAATGCGAATAAGCCCTAAATACGACAGTCCAATAGGCACCAGAGTGAGAATATGCTGTTCAGTACAATATAACCTAACAGGCCTGGTCAGACATGCCCTACATTTTCTCAGTATTACCAATGTACATGAGGATGCTTGTGATGATGGCTATGTTTGTTGCCTATGTATTCCAGCATACTGCACTGGAGGAAGTGTACTTCCACAAAGAAAAAGGGGTATTTTAAAAGGCATAGTCCACATTAAGCAAAAAAATATTAAAAATACACCATCATGAATACATCCCAAAAGTATGAAATTAGTCAATTTTTTGCATTTGAGCCCTCAAAGCATTGCAATCACAATCAGTGTTTCTCACATGCAATGCAAAAGCTCCTACAGACTGTTCCCCCAGCCGCAGGTCTGTACCAAAGTACAGGCCTTCAGTTACGGGGTCAGGGGATGTATCAATGGACTACAAGTGCAGTGACATCACCGCAATGGTGCCCCATTGAAAAGTATGAGCCCCCCAAGTCAGAGATCTCTGTGAATGAATGGTGTGGCTGTGAAAGTGGAGCCACCAACAGCTAAATGAATAATTAAAAAAAAATAGGGCGAGCTTTCATGGGGGACCCCAGATTATGTATAGAGGACACTGCAGACCCTAAATTTAGATGTAACATGAAAAATGGTCAGAAAGGTGAACATACAGATTTTCACTTGGAAATGCCTTAAGAAAAGAAAAAAAAAAAGACATGGTTGAATAGAACTATGAAAGGGAAAAAAATTGAGAGACTCTAATTGGGCTTTAACAAAATGCACTATTCACTGGGTTTTAAGTCACAATGAAGCATTGGACAACCTTTTGACAGTAAATTATATGGAGTGAAGTAGGTCCTTTCACCAACTCCTCGTACTGCCAGATACTTCTCTGCAATACCATTTAAAACATTTCCGGTTATATTTACGAAGTGTCAAAATAACCACTTTACAGTAAATGACATCTAAATATCTTTCCTGGGCTGGGCTCTAAAAAACCGTATTATCATTTTGAAGAGTTGGACATAATTGGCAAATGGCCTCAATACATTGTGAGCTTAATTAATTGACTTTGTACATTTTGACAATCCAAAACAATAAAAACATGTACAGTAAGTGTTACTAAACCCAGGACCCTGTATTCACTATATCTGGTCTGTCATAGTACACAGAACATGGAAATGAAATTAATTTACTAAATATAAACTGCTAATTACCTTTTCTCGTCAGCAGTTAGAGAAGGCTTGTGACTTCTATCATTGTCCAGCAGAGCACTGGTTAAAGCTTGTAGGAGGTGTTTTCATTGCCCCCTGATTTTCCTATGAGGCTGCAAAACCCTTGAACCTCTGTATGGACAGTGCTGATTGGCCTATGCTGATCATGTGCACTCTCTCAAGAAAAAAAAAAACAAAACCTCTCTAGCAATACATACCAAACTGAGCATGTGCAGCTTGCCCCAAGGCTCTGTTCTATCAGCAGATGGATTGGAGACAGTAGAAGGGGAGCATCAGAGAAGACAGGCTCAACCATACTTTTTACACAATGTGGAGGAATAACCCCTTAGGTTCCACAGTGACTATAACAAGCATGCTCTACTGCATATACAGACTGATTTTACTGTTGTGGGTTTAGTAACACTTTAGAGTAAAAAAAATTCTGTATTTGAATCATCAATATGAACCTCTTGTCAATCACACATACACTCTATTGCTAAAAGTATTGGGACACCTGCCTTTACACGCACATGAATGGTATCCCAGTCTTAGTCCGTAGGGTTCAATATTGAGTTGGCCCACCCGTTGCACCTATATAACAGCTTCAACTCTTCTGGGAAGGCTGTCCACAAGGTTTAGGAGTGTGTCTATGGGAATGTTTGAGCATTCTTCCAGAAGTGCATTTGTGAGGTCAGGCATGGATGAGAAGGCCTGGCTCGCAGTCTCCGCTCTAAGTCATCCCAAAGGTGTACTATCGAGTTGAGGTCAGGACTCTGTGCAGGCCAGTCAAGTTCCTCCACCCCAAACTTGCTCATCCATGTCTTTATGCACCTTGCTTTGTGCTCTGGTTCACAGTCATGTTGCAACAGGAAGGCATCCAAAATGTCTTGGTATGCTGATGCCTTAAGAGTTCTCTTCACTGGAACTAAGGGACTAAAGCCCACCCCTGAAAAACAACTCCACACCATAATCCCCCCTCCACCAAACTGTACACTTGGCATAATGCAGTCAGCCAAGTATCGTTCTCGTGGTGCACCGCCAAACCCAGACATGTCCATCGGATTGCCAGAGAAGTGTGATTCATCACTCTACAGAACAGGTCTCCACTGTTCTAGAATCCAGTGGTGGCGTGCTTTACACCACTGCATTCGACGCTTTGCATTACACTTGGTGATGGAAGTCTTAGATGCAGCTGCAACCCATTCCATGAAGCTCTCTGCGCACCACTGTTGCTGTGCTAATCTGAAGGCTACACGAAGTTTGGAGGTCTTTAGCTATTGACTCTGCAGACAGTTGGTGACTTCTGCGCACTTCAGCATGCGCTGACCCCGCTCTGTCATTTTATGTGGCCTACCACTTTGTGGCTGAGTTGCTGTTGTTCCCAGTTACTTCCACTTTGTTATAATACCACTAACAGCTGGCCGTGGAATATTTAATAGCAAGGAAATTTTACAGATGGACTTATTGCACAGGTGGCAACCTATCACAGTACCGCGTTTGGATTCACTGAGCTCCTGAGAGCAACCCATTCTTTCACAAATGTTTGTAGAAGCTGTCTGCATGCCTAGGTGCTTGATTTTTATACACTTGTGGCCAGCCATGGAGGTGATTGGATCACCTGAATCCAATGATTTGAAGGGGTATCCCAATACTTTGGCAATATAGTGTATATGTGGCAGCAGGAAAAGTGGCCTTTAATGCCCAGCTGCTGCATATAGGACTCTGGTTGTGTGCTTAGGCTGCGCACAATGCAAACTTCCAGCACACTGATCGAGCTACCACTGACAGCTCAGTCACAGCCTCTGATTGGGAGCTAATAGGATGGATCCCAATCACATGACTGCTGTGACAGCAAATCACAGCGTTCACCTCATTGAGAAGTCATGCTGCTTTCCAGGCATTAAAGTTTGAAAAGTCAACTTTTAGTGACTGTGGCTGCTAAGACATAAAACACAGCTTATGTTAAAACTATAATTTATTATCCATCAACTATTTTAGTCTGCGGAGCTTTATCTCATGTCATATTTCATAAATCACTGATTTACCTAGGACAGCTTTTCTCAACCTTTTTAATATGGAATAAGCCTTGAAATATTGTTCTGGTCTCAGGGAACCCTGATTAAATGACTGCATCTACAGTTCACCGTAATTAATAAGTGTGATGGTCAAGGAGAAGAATGATCCCTACATTTGGGGCCAGTGGGAACAATCTTACAGATAGCTAAAAAGTTCATTGGTTTCATTGAGAACTTATCATAGAGGCAGAAATTTTTCTGTGCTCAAGGAACCCCTGGTAACCTCTGAGGAGCCATGGTTGAGAAAGGCTGACCTAGGGCTTTGACAATAGCGGTTTAATACATACAAGCTTCTGCTTCGTGTCAAATAGACACATTGGTGTTAATTTACTAAAGGGATAGAGAATGTTCACTTAATAAATAAAATGAATCTATAAAGGAAAACAGTTTTTTCTAGTTGGAATGGATTAGGGAAAGGTTAGAACCCCTGTCAGGTTTTACTGCTAGAGAAAATGTTCTACTCCAGAGAGCAATTTCTTCTCACTTCCTGTTCTGGTGATCAAACCGGAAGTGTAGGAAAATGTGCAATTGGGAAACAGACCACAATACAAAACTAACCAAAGTTCTAGTACTTCCCTACTTAACAAACAGCAAGCTTTTCTTTTGCCTGTGTTGCTGTTGAAGCGTTTCCCTCATTTCCTGTCTGGTAAAAGGATGTCCCAAGAGCAAGAAGTGAGGGGAAAATGATTCTAACAGAGCCCTGTATAACAGTAAAACATGACAGGAGTTCTAATCCTTCTTTCCATCAAAAACTAGAAACAATTGGCTATATATATACACACTTTAAGGTCACATTCATACCTTATTGTTGTGAAGCACAAAGCTCAAAGCTCCAAAACGCTCAGGGAGAAAAAAAAATGTATATTACTGTATGGAGATGGTTTTCCACTCCAAGTTGCCTGACGCAGAAAGCCAAAAGCTCAAAAAAGTTTAGAGCTACTTTTGTAGCTGTATTCGAGCAGATTAATGCATTTTTAAGCATTTTCACCCCATAGAAATACATGGAAATGCACAAATCACGCACTTTAGCATGGTTTGTTGCACGACCAAGAGCATTTTTCTTGCATGGCAACAGTTGCTGTCACAGATGAACTTTTTCTCCATTGGCCAATACAAAAATGCCATAACTCAAAAAGCCTGAAAACGTTCGCAAACATGGATAAAGTCGCTCCACACAACATGCAAAAAAAAAAATGCACAAAAACGCTATGCTCTGGTGTGATTGGGGCCTAAGGGTTTGTTTACAATACAATCCCTACATTAGGAGTACAGTTCTGCATGTGTATTTACATGCATTTTCAAGGCATTTTTGTAATGTTTGCAGTGCATTTTCTTTGATATGATTTTTTTTTTACTACGTTGCATTTACATGCATTTGCAGTGCAGTCACAAGCAAAAAAAAAATATTTCAATATTTTTAATTAAGTTTAAATTGAAAGACAGTTTCAAGATACAAATAGGCATCTAGACCAACCAGCAAAACAGAGACGTGTCCAGTATAACAAAATAACAAAACCTTGTTGGAAAACTGCCAACTGCAAAAAACAATGAACACAGTTTCACAGTGAATCTGCATCAGCCTTAACCACTTGCCGACCACCCTGTAGCAGTTTTACTGCTACAGCGTGGCCGCACTACAAAATCATGTATTTTGTATCTCCATGTATGGGGCATGCTCCATCCTACCCATGCTGTCATTGGCTCCTGTAGGTGTCAATCACCGGGTCCCGGCCAGCGATTCATGGCCAGGACTCGGTGATTGTCAGAGAAGCTGACAGGAGATAGATCTGTGAGTGTAAACAACACAGATCTCTCACCTGTCAGTGGGGATGTGCTGGTTTTTATCTCTCTGCAAAGCAGGGAGATAAAAACCAGCACATACCCTACTAAAAGAGCACACAGTACACCATTTAATCACTCCCTAACACACAGTTACCCTTTGATTACCCCAGATGTTAACTTCTTCCTGCCCAGTGTGATTAGTACAGTGTTAGTGCTTTTTATTAGGGCTGATCACTGTATTACGGTCACTGGAGATGTCCGTGGCAGTCAGTCAGTTCCCACCCAGTGTCAGAATGCCTGCCGTACTACCGCAGTCCCGTTATAAGTTGCGGAATGCCATAACTAGTATAAAAAAAGTTCCATTATATATAACGCCATTAGTAGACTCTAAAACTTTCACGCAAACCAATTAATATATACACTTATTGAGAATTTTGTTTACTAAATACATGTAGCAGAATACATTTTGACCTAAATTTATGAATACATTTTATTTTTTTTAACTGTTTTATTGGATATGTTTTAAAACAAAAAGTAAAAAATATTTATTTTTTTTAACATTTGGTCTTTTTTTAATTTATAGCGCAAAAAAAAAAACAGTGATGATCAAATACTACCAAAAGAAAGTTCTATTTGTGTGAAAAATTATATACATTTCATTGTGTACAGTGTTTCATGACTGCGCAATTGTCAGTTAAAGTAGTGCAGCGTTGTATAGCAAAAAATTGTGTAGAGAGCTTCATAGAATTGGTTTCCCATAGCTGCCTTACATCACCAAGGGCAATACTAGGCAATGGATGCAGTGGTGTAAAGCATGCCGCCACTGGACTCTAGAGCAGTGGAGACGTGTTCTCTGGAGTGACGAAACACGCCTCTCTGTCTGGAAATCTGATGGACATGTCTGGGTTTGGCAGTTCCCAGGAGAACGGTACTTGCCTGACTGCATTGTGCCAAGTGTAAAGTTTGGTGGATGGGGGATTATGGTGTGGGGTTATTTTTCAGGGGTTGAGCTTGGCCCCTTAGTTCCAGTGAAGGGACAAGACATTTAGGACAACTTCATGCTCCCAAATTTTTGGGAATAGTTTGGGGATGACCCCTTCCTGTACCAACATGATTGTGCACCAGTGCACAAAGCAAGGTCCATAAAGACATGGATGAGTGAGTTTGGGGTGGAGGAACTTGACTGGCCTTCACATAGTCCTGACCTCAACCCCACAGAACACCTTTGGGATGAATTAGAGCGGAGACTGCGAGCCAGGCCTTCTCATCCAACATCAGTGCCTGACCTCACAAATGCATTTCTGGAAGAATGGTCAAACATTCCCATACACACACTCCTAAACCTTGTGGACAGCCTTCCCAGAAGAGTTAAAGCTGTTATAGCTGCAAAGGGTGGGCGAAATCAATTTTGAACCCTCTGGACTAAGACTGGGATGCCATTAAAGTTCATGTGCGTGTAAAGGCAGGCATCCCAATACGTTTTGGCAATATAGTGTAAAAATATATATATATATACACATACACACACACACATATATATATATATACACACACACACACACTACATACTCACACAGCCACATACTGTACATACACTGCCTCACACTAAACATTTCATATAGCCATGTTCATTAGGTGCAGATACTTCAGACAGCCAGCAGATGGCAGAAGCATAAAATGCTCCTGTATACATATACGTTGTATATCTATTAAGATAAACATATTCTATATGCTGATTATACGGAGTCTATATCATGTATGTTTATCTGTGATTTAAAAATGGCCACCCAGAATAAAGAATGCATATTAAATTGACACAGTAAGATATCTCTGGTGGTGACTTTATTGTTAGTAGCATCAGGTTTCAAGGAAAAAAAAAAAAAAGATAAAAAAAGATAAAGGAAACCAGAAAAAAAAAACAGTGTTTTTTTCTCCTTTTTCTGGAAACAGAAACGTGAACCATGGTGAATTCTGATCCTGTTTGACCTCAAAAAAAGAAAGAAAAACACGTTCTAATAACAGAACAATGGGCTCTACAGCCTGGGCTTTTCACCACAGTTTAAGTAGTACAGAAATTACTTGCAATTCCTAACACAGACTAGAAATAAATATACCACTTATGCATTTGAAAGGTTTTCTTCCTTTCTAGTCCTGAATGGAACCCGGCATTTGAAATCTCGCTGCTATTTATTTCATGACAAATTGCAAGACTAAATTCACTTCATGCAATGCAACATAATAGTAATGATTAAGCCAATTGCATCACAGTGCGGCTTACAAGCACACACAACAGCGGGGTTACAGATAACTTTCAAAGCTGGAAAGCACCAGGCATTTTTCAATGTCCCCCGCAGAGACGGAAAACTTTCTCTTAGCTGGCTGCATGCTTCAGGACAAGATTTTTTAGAAATGAAATTAACACGGATACATTACAGGTTTTTTTTTTCCTCTATTAAAATAGCAAGGACGACCTACATGTAAAAAAGTATCCGTTAAAAAAGAATCCATTTAATGCCGGACATAAGAGATATATATTGGTCGCCACCTGTAAACACTTCATTCATAAGGGGATAGGTACTGTATATATATCAAATTGCTGGGGAGATATTTGTCAAGCACACTTTTGCTTGCCATAGACTAAACCATTAACATCATTTTCTTCATCACAGTTATTACCTTTTTATCACTTGTTCCTCCCTTTAGAT